CCTTCCTGCCGTGGTGCCCCAAGGACAGCCACACGCAACCATCTCTTGCTTCTGCTATAATTCATTCCAAAGACCCTGGAGGGCAGAGTCAGAGAAAGTTTTCTGAGAGCCCACTCAGCACACAGAAAGGCCCCCAAGCCAGGCATTATGGTCAGCATCACCCCATGCCACCTGACTCGAGCACTTTTTATGCTGAGCACATTCAGGGGGACTGCCACTTAAATATTCCCAGGCCCGCAGGTAATTTACCAATACCCCAGAAGCCCCCATTTCTGAAGCAGCCCTGCACATCCTTCTGCTTTATGTCAGTCTAGCAGTCTAACTGCCACTGAAGGCGGGATGTTCTTCTGAAGCAGTAACACAGGATGGCACAGGAAAGAGAGAAGAGCCCCCTTCAATCCTGCAGAAGAATGGCTAGAGATCCAAGGATGCGCCCTGGCAGTTGCGTCACTAGGATGACATCAGAGGAGAAACCCCCGGGGCGGGCAGACTCCCAGCAGCTTCCCTGAAAGTGCTGCCAAGTCCAGTCCTCTACTGCTACCACGAACAAAGCCAGAGGCCCCAGACCAAGTTCAACTCTGCGCACTCACCTCCCGACCAGTGAGCGCTTCCACTGCCCACGGGCTCGACAGTAATATCTCCACACGCACATTCGATTTGCGCCTCTTAGTCATAGCAGTTTTAGGATTAAAGTGTTCAGGAATGACTTTAAATGCGACTTTGAGAAAGGATAAGAAATTCTGATTTCTCGGCGGCCTAGTCCCAGCGTTTGCTATTCCACCCCACCTTCCTGTGGACCCTGCAGGGGAGACGCTCCTGAACACTCAGCTTGCACCCCTACATTCTCCTGATAGAGGGCAGGGGTGGAAGACACCAAGGGCCAACAGGGAACCTCAGCTTGGCTCAGAGCAGTTTCCTCCACACTAGGAAACAATGGGCAAATGAGTTCAACCCACAGAATTCCTGGAAAGCTCAAAAGGCCTCAGACACATGCACAAACTCCTCCACCAACATGTTTCCTTAATTCAACTCTGAGATTTACTGAGCACCAAGCCAGTGAAGCTGCTCCCAGCACAATGTGAACATGGGTTACAGACCAACTGTGCAAAATCTCTGGTCAGGAGTGGGATAATCACCCAGTGGGCCTATGCGCCAGGGGGGCACATAATCTGGCCGCATTCTCATGCCAGTGAGGGAACACAGGGCCATCCAGGCATTCACCGTATGTGGGCACCATGTCCAGGATGGAGCCGTCCATCCTAAAGCTGCGCTTCTCTCTCCCTCCGCTGCTTTTGTTTTTTTTTTTTTTTTTTAAGATTATTTATGGGCCTCCCTGGTGGTGCAACAGGTTAAAGCACAGCACTATGAAGCCAGCTGCAGCCACTGCAGCACGAGTTCGATCCCCGGCCAGGAAGTTGACTTCCATGGCACATCAGACCTCTCCGTCTTACCCATTGCTCCCCTCAGCAGTGTACTTTGTCCATCTGCCTGTTCTGCTCCCCACTCTGTCTCTGGTGAATCCTCTCACCACATTGAGCCTCTGGCCTGTACCTGAGTTTTACAAGTGTGAATAAATAAATCTTTAAAAAATATTTATTTATGCATACAAGAGCTGGGGTGTAGGCTAGAGGTGCAGGGGGTGAGAGGATTCACCAGAGACAGAGACAGAGAGGGGAACAGAACAGCTGTATCAAGTGAAATACAGTGCTGAGGGGAGCAGCAGCAAGACAGGAGAGTCTGCTGCACCCTGTGGGTCAGCTCCCTGACTGGAGATCGAACTTGCATTGCAGTGGCTGGCAATAGCTTGACAGTGTTGAGTCTTCAAGTCCATTTTAAAGGTGAGAAAGTGTAGAGATGTCAAGTAATTTCCCCCAGGTGAGACAGCAGGAAGAGCATGGGGAGGCCTCCACACCAGGGCAGTCTGGGCCTCCATCTCTTCACTCCAGCTGCCAGGAGGGCTGCGTGCGGACTGCAAAACAGGGGACTGCCAGTCAGGCAGCAGGGGGTGTTGCGCTGAGGGTAGCTGAACAGAAAAGAGGAAGGAAGTTCCTTAATTCTGCCCAGAGAAAGTGAAACAGTGAGGAAAAAGGGGACATTTCAGGCCGTGGGAAGCCCTGGACCTCTATCTTGAGGCAGTCTAACAGGCGAAGACCTGCGGATTGTGCCCGCTGGTAAGGTACTTAAGCCCAGGTGCCTGCTCATTCCTTCTCCTGTGCATGCATAAGGCAGGCATAAAAAGAGCAGCAGGCTTGGTAATTTCCATTGGGGAGTAATTCAAAGAAAGGCCTCACAGCGGGTAACAGGAGCATGCACTGGATTTCAATTTCAGAACCTGCAGCTGGAGGAAACAACCAATGCTACTCCCTCAGGTCTCCTGCCACAGCTCCCAGCAACTCCACTGCAACTCATCTCCCCAAACAGTGCCACCAGGAAACTGCCAATAACCCCAACATTCCAGGACTTTATCTTTGAGGGTCCAGCACTTAGCACAAGCTAGGAACAATGGCTGACCCTCACCAAAGAGGGGGCGAACCTTATTAGGTGTGGAGCCCAAATGCAAAGACCTCTGGAACTAAGAACCAGCATCCAACATGGTTCTCATCAGGCCCCTATGCTTTTCCAAGGACAACAGTGTTTGACTCAGCACCTAGGCTCACTACCATTCAAAAGAACAAACCATGGTACTACGCGGCACGCCAATTTTTCCACACCAACCCTAAAGCACAGTTTCGTTAATATCCTAAACCTTCATAGAAGACGTCTTCCCACATTTCCAATTTCCAAGCAAGGAAAACAGCTTTAAGCTAATCTTGGTATCAGTAGTGTGCATAAATGTGTCTACAGTAAGTTTCCAACAAGAACTTAATAAAAATATGCCCTTAATAAGTTCCTTTAAATAAGTTAAAACCCCACTCATAAACTCAAAGCCAAACCTTGCCTCAAAAACATCTAAATAATCTATCATTTAAACTGCCAACAAAATAAAAATGCAAAAGTCAACACCTCGCCTTCTCAAAATTTATTCTCCTAGCCCCATCCCCCAGCCAGTTCGGAAGAGTGAGTTTTCATTCTCCCCTGGAATGGAAATACATACTTACAGTACTTAGAGCGCTGTCCTGAGATATTTGTTAAATCCTTTCTTAAAGTACATGATAAAAAAGACAATCTATATAAGATTTAAGCTACCTCCTCCTACATATGAATGATGGAATTGAAGGTTCAATCAGAAAATACCTGCCTCCCCCACTCCTGGCAGGAAAAGCAAGAACTTTTCTCTTGATTTCTTCCCTTTCCTTGGGGCATGGGATAGAAGATGGTCAGGTCCTCTCTAGGTGATAATGCATTGACTTTGACTTGTATACTTGAGATCTGTGCGTGGTCGATTTTGGGGGGGTGGGGGGTGGTTGCATGTTATACTGCAGTAAAAATGTTTTGAAACAGCGCACACAAACTTAAAATGTTGCCAAGAAAACGGGAACGAAATCAGTTTCCAAGTCGTTTACATCACCGACGACTGGACCACTTGACCGAGCGTTAGAAGAATGAGACCCGCTTATCCAAAATCCTGCCCAACAGCTTCAAAAATCTCCCCCAGCTCCGCTGAGTTCCGGACAGCCAGTTCGGCGACCAGCCCTCCCAGGCTCCCGGCAGCTGCAGCCTCGCGGGCCGGGAGACTCCGCGGACGCGTGGCCCCAAGAGCGGGCCGCAGCCCGGTCGGGGCCCGGGGATACAGCCGAG